AATACAGAGTTTATGATATGGTATGGTATACTATGGAGTATAGTACGGGGTATGGCATTAGACCTATTTTAAATAGTAACTCTCAAGCAACCAGAAACTACATTTATCCAGAATCTACCAATCCCCCTGGATAGCAGGGAGGTGTGTGTGTGTGTGTGTGTGTGTGTGTGTGTGTGTGTGTTTGTTTTATTTTTTTCTTGTATGAAAATGCCATTATTTTATCAGTGTAAAAATGAATTCTTAGTTCCAAAAGATTTTTTCCTACACCAGCTCTAATATATACTGTAATCTATACCAGTGTTTCCCAGACTTTGTGTTAGTCATTACACCCTTAAAAGCATGCAAAATCTCAAATGCACCCCAGTCTAAAATGTCATAGATTTTTAAGGGAGAACCCCATGCAAAAAACACACAAACAAGTGGGTTTCCGCTTTCTCATCAAGATTCCCCCCTCTTTACATCAGAGTCACCCTTTGCATCAGTAGCCCCCTTCACACAAGTCTTCATTCCCCCTTCACATCGAAGTACCCCATTCAAATCAAGATTTCCTACCCCCTTCACATCAGGAAAACCATTTCCATCAGTAGCCCCCTTCACCTCAGTCTTCATACCCCCTTTACTATTACAGTCCCACTTCTCACAAAATTTTGAGGCACCCCTGAGGAGACCAGGAGGTATTTGCCACGGCACACTGGTTGAAAAAGGCTGATCTATGGCATGCACCAATATATGATGTAGCATAGTTATGCATTCGATTTTTTTTTTTATAAATCTAAAAATACAACATTCTGATCCCATGAGTAATGTAACACGTCACTAAGGCTTCAATCATAATTCTATAGAATTATGATGTATAAATAATTCTGCACTCTGCGTTAAAACCCGAGTCACAGCCTACAGAGGTGTTGGTAGAATACGGATATGACAGCTTAGCAGTATAACGCCAATGCTATAGGAAGGGTAACTGCATATTATTGTAAGCAAGACAAGAATGAATAGATGTTATCTCCGGCATAAAAGTCAAATAAAAAAAGGACAGATTGTTTGGTCGTTAACTGCCCATTTTTTTTCGTTAAATTGAGCAAATCTTTATGGACACATCTAAGCAAATAAACATTTGCAATTTTTCTGCATTGTGAATCGGTTTATTCTTCACCAAGTCTGACTCTGATACACTGAACATAAAGAGGGCTCCTGAACAGATATATTCCCATCTTGTTGGCCATTGACAATGGAGATCCTGGTATTTGTTTATATAAATCCAACACCAATTTGTTGAGCATTTTAGCCAACTACATAAATCTTCCAAATGTTTTCATACAATCACTTCACACAAAAACATACCTATACCTGTCCATATGAAGGACTATACCTGTCCATACACAGGACTATACCTGTCCATACACAGGACTATACCTGTCCATACACAGGACTATACCTATCCATACACAGGACTATACCTATCCATACACAGGACTATACCTATCCATACACAGGACTATACCCATCCATACACGGGAATATACCTGTCCATACACGGGAATATACCTGTCCATACACGGGAATATACCTGTCCATACACGGGAATATACCTATCCATACACAGGAATATACCTGTCCATATGAAGGACTATACCTATCCATACACATGAATATACCTGTCCATACACAGGACTATACCTATCCATACACAGGAATATACCTGTCCATACACAGGAATATACCTATCCATACACAGGACTATACCTGTCCATACACAGGAATATACCTGTCCATACACGGGAATATACCTGTCCATACACGGGAATATACCTGTCCATACACGGGAATATACCTATCCATACACAGGAATATACCTGTCCATATGAAGGACTATATCTGTCCATATGAAGGACTATATCTGTCCATATGAAGGACTATAACACTCGTTATAGTTCGAAACGTAGAAACAATCAGCAATAAACTTTTTACAGTAAACTCCATAACAAGGACTAGAGGCCACCACCTAAAACTGGTGGAGAAAAGATTTAACCAGAAGGGGTGCAGGGGATTCTTTTCAGTTAGAGCGGTTACATTTTGGAACTCTCTGCCACAAGCAGTGGTATCAGCTTAGAGTATTGAATCATTCAAAAATCAATAGATACCATCCTCAGAGACCGTAACATACAGGGGTACAGGTACTCCTAAAAACATGACCACACAGGGACTCGTATACACACACCCATACACACAAAAGGTTGAACTTGGTGGACCTGTCTCTTTATTCAACCTCAAATACTATGTAACTATGTAGGCACAGAACTGGAATACTTCACTTTCAATTTTAATTCAATACAAACATAACGATCCAGTTCAAATAATATATAAATCATTTGTGGTTGCAGTACAGCTCATGCAACATCACACATACACACACAATATGGCTGAACACAGGTCATAAATGATCAGGTCTTATAAGACTGGCAGACTGCCTTCATCGGGTCAATTTTCTTTGCAAACCGGTTGCATTATTTGGCAAATTCAATTGCTGACCCGATTACTGAAACCTATCACTATTATTATTATTATTATACAGGATTTATATAGCGCCAATAGTTTGCACAGCGCTTTACAATATAAGGAAGACATTACAGTCACAATACAATTTAAGACAAGATGGTAAGGAGGGCCCTGCCCCTTGGGGCTTACAATCACTAACAGTTTGTATATTTATATGGCAGTGATGTTCACTGGTTGGCCTTTATCCTTTTACTTGTTTAATTGTTCAAATCAATTGTTCACTTGTTTATGTAATTGAACGGTGTTTGTAATTAATACTAAATTGTCCATTTATATGGTCAGCAGACAACTGGTCATATATTCGGGTAACCATATGCCAATTCCAACCACTGACCGCTGCAAACACAATCAAAAACAACTTACCAAGGACACCCTCTAAAATGTTAATAATTGAAAATTGCTGCTGGTTGGTTGCACTGATCAGTTTGATCAAAATCAGGTTAAGCCTGGTTGGAATTGCCACAAACCTTCCTAGAGTATGACCACCGCTAAGCAAATATACAATTTGGCAACTGCGTAGACTTTACATGAACCTCTCATTTAAATTAAAAAAATTAAAAGGTCCAAAACAATATGCTGCCCCAATGTATCATTTTCTGGCTAAAAGGTTAAAATTGCAGTGGAAATAGATTAAAACAACGCAATGCCAGAAGAATGGACTGATTTTTTTTTTGGGTGTGGCTTTCACCAATATTTAATTTGGCACCTAAAGACATTCACAACCCTGGGTAAGCAGATTGCTGTGCAAAGTTTAATTTTACGCAATCTTAAGCTGATAGAAGGTTTCCAAAATTGGGGAGCATAGGGCCAGGCCAGTAAAAGGAATGGAAACCCATAACAGGCTTAATCCAGGTTCAGCTTTAGAATGGTCTATGACTATGGCGTCATGTACAACTTCAATAACAAGAATTCCAATGGCCTTTACTGCTCGTCATCACTGTCCAACTTCACGCACAGACTTTCAAACTCAATCGTTCCCCTTTCCATAGAAAAACACTTTACTTGAGTTGATCTAAATTTTCCCAAACCAAAAAAGAAAAGAAAAAAATGGGGATGAACAAATCTGCCTGTATTCCTGTCCGTGTCCTCACCAGGACACTTCTTCCATCACCAGATAAGACATTGGGACATCAAAGAAAACCCAACTTTTCTCATTTTATCAAAACTTAAAAAATTTCAAGGTGGAATTTCCCTGTAAGGGCCTCCCTGTTGCATGATACCAGTTGACTTCTAAGCACAGAACCCCATAAGGGCCCATCGCTTCTAAAACTTGTAGGCTGGGTCTGAGGTGAGCTGCAGTAACTTGTGTTAGCTTCCTACTTGCATTAGTGCATAAGGCAACACAACTCCAATGCTTTCTTTTTCCTCATCTAGTCTGATGCGATCCGATATTCTCTATGGAGGGAACACATTCACAGAATTTATTCCCCTGCAGTTCTGCATTTTTTAATCATTGTGTAAAACTACTTTCTTTCCTTTTACATTTCCTCATCAAAACTCTTAATTTCAGACATCTATGAAACTCCCAGAACATTTTGTTCTCATCAAGCAAATGAAGCAGTATGATGTACCAGATAAAATTGCACAACAGGGACCCATCTGTATTGTTATCTGCAGCTTTAAACTCATCCAATGCTTTGTCTCAGCATGAGCAATGCGAAGGGCTAAACAATGCAGGCAATATTAAACTTTAAGCAAACATACTGATTGGAATATTAACTAGTGTAATACTGGTATGTGCCTGAGTATAGTACAATGTTTTAGAGTTCCAGCACTCCCAGTGCTACATTTCAATGAGCGGGAAATGATGGTCATAGGGAATAAAAGCCATGCCCTTTGTACGTACTGATCTAGAAACAGCAACCATTCACCATCATTTTCACAACAACCATTTTCACTTTGAAAGCACCATAGCTATACCCTGGCGCTTTCAAAGCAGGGGCAACAGACCACCAAAACACTAACTGGTTTTGGGTAGACCGGAAAGTGTCCAAAAAGGAGAAAACACCTATATTTGCAGAATCAGTAAAACTAAAAAGGACAATGACCCTTCAGATTAATGCAATTCGATTGCATTGCATTTTGATTGATTGCATTGCATGATTCAAAGGATACAATGTAGGTTAGTGAGAGATAACATCATGGCCATTGAGATGTTTTGGTTGCAAATTTTCATAATTGGTTGCCAAGTTTTATCATTTGCACAGACGTCAGACTATTGTGTTGAAGCCGCCTGGCTAACAAGCTGGAAAAATGCCGAACACTAAAGCAGGAGTGAATGAGGACATGAAAAGCTGCAGAAGACTGAACTTTAACATCATCAAGATGGAAAAGAGCTTTGGTAGATCCACAAAGTAAAATAAAACATAGGCATAGCAACATAAATAAAAGTATGAAACAATATCATGGAACATAATTAAAAGTATCAAAAAGTTAATTACCTGGTCCTCGTCCATGGTCTCCTCCACCCCTTCCTCCTCCACCACAAAGCTCTCCTTGAGCTTCAGGTACTCCTCATAGTCCCGCTTCTCCTGCTCTTCCTTGGCTTTCTTCTTCTCTTCTTCCTGCAGAGAAGACAAAACACTGTTCAGCCCGGGGAGTACATTGCCAAAAAACACATCGCTGGCCCCGGCTGGACCATTCTCATTGTGTGCTGGGCACAAGAGCAACACTTCAGCAGTACTCGGTGACCTTTTATAGAGCACAGGCTGCTGAATTAACATAGACACTCCCTGACAGTGCTCATTGTGGTTAGTTCCTCTTCCAGCAGTTGACAAACTGTCAGTGTATTTTTTTTTTATTATTATTTAGAATACTTTTGTATTTCTATAAAGGCCACCCTGATCTTTTTATTGTTATAAAACAATTTACTAAATGTCCTTTTAATCAAAAAAAAGAAGAGAACTGAATAAGTTTAGGTTTCCTTTTTTGTTCTTGTTTTATGGCTTTGCTGACAAAAATGTTCCCACCATTTGTTTTTGCAGTTGGCAGACGTAAAAATAAATTATAAATATATAAAAAATATTGCAAACAAAAGTTTGCATTGGTATATAAAAAGTATTAGAACAAAAACTTGTAAGTAATGCCTCAGCAACAAAGAATACAAAAGGGAAATTGGGAGGTTTAGATTACAAGCAATTTTTACGGCACGTGCCGCCCTAATCCTACAATTTTTTTTTCCTTAAAATTTGGTAGCTAAAATTCAACACCAAATAATCATAACAGCGAGCTTTTGAACTTGCTTCTATTAAATTTAAACTGAAAATAAATACTGACCCATTTATTATTTTTTTTAACAGACCCCCCCACCATATACACTGTAAAAATACATCATCACTTTCTAGGGTCAACTCCATCTGAACCCCATGAGGTTCGGTGGGTCAAGCATGATTACAAAGCCTTTGGTGTCCACATTCTATTTTGCAGATATTAGGAATGTGTTTCTCACCAATTTGCTTTTCTACAGTTCAAGCTTCCAGTAGGCTGACAATGTACAGAAAGCCCCCAAAACGCTAAAGGAAATGCTCTTGCCTATAACAGACTCTACTTGCAAAAGGGGCAACGTGGTCATGGACCATGGACACATTTCCCATCCGTGTGAACTATCTGGCATTGTGAATTTTAATACTAATCAACAACTTCACTTGTCATGTTATAAATGATATAATTTGCCACTCTGAGATTTTCCCTTTTTGTTTTTTTTCTTTTCACCTTCTCTTTTTTTTTGCTACAGTGCTACAAAAGCAACATTATGAACAAAAATTCTCTATTAGTATACAATTTTTGGAACTTGGGCCTCAACTTCTGTAAATTATTAGCATCTAATCTAATTGATTTTAAGATTTTTTTTTTTTTTTTCATGCTATCGCTTTTTTTTTTATATTTTTATTTATTGCACTGATAACATTCGCCAATTTTCAACTTTGTATCCCAACAAATTGCAGGTGGGA